TGTGTGTGTGTGTGTGGGGAGGGGGGTGTGATATTAACGGCCTAAATACGCTGTTTAATGCCGATCATATACGAAGAGAGAAGAACACCTCGTCGTTCGGGTCGTCGGCTCCCAGCCAACTGAATTTCTTGTCGTCGTCATCATTGAATCTTTGCAACAATTTGCGCTTACATTTTAGCCGCCTTAATTATTTCCGTTTCAATTCACACGTATACATTCTTCTTCATCATTTTCCAAGGATTCATTACTAGTTAACTATTTCTGTACCATAATTACTTCACACATCACTTCAGGATATGTTAATAGCTGTCTATAGCCTTCCTTTAATAGTCACTACTTTGATTACTCTTATTTTTACAACTTTTGAGTCATTTGTTCGTAGCCATCAAGTTCTTCTATCACATTTGTGGTTCATATGACTTCCTATTACTCTTAAATGCCTACTTCGATTTCGTTTTTGAGGTCAATCGTCCATTGGGTCCATAGTTGCATGAAAAATATACTTGTTACCTCGTACTCGAGGTAGTTTAAATCTGGTCCCTTAGGTTTTGGCCTTGTCATATGGGTGTCAGGGCCTGGAACCGAGGGATACTTGAGATTCACGCTTTCCGACCGCCACTTTAAACTTCAGATCGGGGTTCAAGCGTAGACCAAAGGTTTTCGACCAAGACCACCCACGAGGTTGCATTTATGATTTCCTCGGTCATTTTCTTTTTCCTCCCTGATTCTTCTTCTTCTTCTGGACCTGTTGCTGTTTCTGCTGTTATTCGTGATTCTGCCTATTGAAGGACGGCGTTTGTGTGTGTGTATGTGTGTATGTGTGTATGTGTGTGTGTGTGAATAGGGGGTTGATTGCTGCGAGAGCACGACCATGACGGCCACGAGACGGGGGGCCATGGTGGTAGATGGTCGCACTTTTATTCATTCATTAAAATCTCATTAAATGCCATGGCTCATGCCCTCCATATTAGCGAGCTTTGCAAAGGTTGGTATAGGTACGGGAAAGAATGGGAGGAAAAGGAGGAGGAGTAGGAAGGTGTTGCCACAAGTTCACGCCACGCCATTGTGTGATGTTTTCTCGGGTCATTGTATGAATAAGTGTGTATTTCGCCAGGCCAATTCATTTCATTATCGTCTATTTCGTGTCGTGTTCAGCCACCCCCTTGCCCCCCTTGCGACCCCTTCGGTCGCTACATCTCGGTTGCTCTGCTTCCCTCGTTCGGTGGTGTCTCCACGCTCGCGCTCCTTTCGTTCCTACTCTTTCCGCCGCTGCCTCTCGTTCTCACCCGCACTGCACACTCATCGATCCCCCTCCCACCCCCCTTGTTTTGCTAGACATGTTGACCCGAAAACCATTGTCCTCTCAGTATCAAAATTTCCATGTCGTCCCGTAAGATATTGATCCAGCCGTTTTCACGTGCACGCAACGACATCCGTTCTTCGTTCGCCATCATCGTTGCCGTCGTCGTCGTCGTTGTCGTTGTCATCATCAACGACGGCGACAACGACGACGACGACAATGTCGTCAAATGTGTGATATTCATATTGTTCTTGTCATTTCCACCATATGTCATTATTATGATCATCATCGTAGTCGTTTTCAAGTAGAACAGGTGTCAAACACTCGTCACCCACTAGGCCATCTTTCACATCAGTTGTCGATCGGAAATCGTTTTGTTCGATTGACTTCATCAAGTACTTCCTACGTAGTGGTGGCCACGTGATAATGCGAATGTGTGTCGTGTGTACGTGCATGTGTGTGTACGCATGTGTACGTGCATATATATCCGTGTATGAGCATATTTTTTAGTATAATTAATGACGTTTATACAATATGTTTAGCCTTGAGGAAAAAAGACTCCGAAACGATTTGCTGTTTCATTGTTCACGTTATGTACAGGGAAAAATATCGCGTATGACACATACACGTGAGTACGCTGACACAAATACGTCACCCCCCTCATACACACATGTACGCTTGCCGGCACGTTCTTACAATATTGACCGTACTACATTTCCGCTAGTAAAAAAACTTTTTTAAAATGAAATAGGTTCTGAAAAAAAAANAAAAAAAAATGAAAATTGTTCGTTGTGAAGAATTCAGTGAGAATTATGAGCCATTATTTTTTCAAACAATTTCTGTTTATGAGTACGGTAGTTTTTCTGTGACGGACCCTTTCTAATTTCTTTCTACTTACCTATATCTTTTTCACGTCCGAAAAAACATCAGAATCAAAAATGATTTCATGATAGTGGATATTTTAGGCTACATTCCAGTATCACAACCTCCTCCTTAAACCTTTTCATTTGTGATTAGTTGTATTTTGTTCTCATCTGTCAACAGTTATGCTCCTGCCTTACTCTTTACCTTTACCCATCAGGGAGTCTGGGATTTTTTTCTGACAATTTGGAGTAAAAGCTGCTCTTATTATCGATAGTTTAGAAGTTGGACAGGAATCAAAAGTTGCTATTTTCTATGGCCTTCTTTCTAATTACCGTAATCCCTGCACTGTCAGGACCATATCAACTTTTGCAAGATTTTTTTGATCTACTTCATTTTGGGGTCACGCAGTTTTTTCCCATTAAGAAATAGCTATCGACTTTTTGACTTTTTCAAAAAATTGTTAGAAAGGGTTCTTTACTCATTGAAGCATCATTTCGTTTTTACACAGTAAGCCAAATGTTTGTCTTAAATTCTTCAAAAGAACGGTGGTCTTTGCAATTAGTAAGTATTCTTCGTAGTTGAAAAATCTTGGAATAGGGGAGACGTAAACACGCATGCCACAAGCATTCGATGGCGTTTGTGTGACTTTAGGTTCGAAAGGGGCGTGAGACTAAGGTTGTGGGCATAGTCTTAGTCAATCGGCACAAATTACTATTCTATGTAAGTTAACTGAAAAAAGTTATTATGCGTTTTTACAAGATAAGGTAACTTGTCTGACTGGTCCTCCGGTCCCCAGCACAGCACACTGCCTCCAAAATCCGGTACCCCGGCACCCACAGATAATATCGATTGGCCCGCTCCGATTGTCTGACTGGTCCTCCGGTCCCCACCGCACTGCCTCCAAAATCCGGTACCCCGGCACCCACAGATAATATCGATTGGCCCGCTCCGATCTCTTGCCGTTTCCACGGCTCGACCATTTACGTAATCAATACGTATCCAATGTTCGTGACGAATTTATTGGATTTGATCATTCTTTATTTGCATACAAGACCTATGTCTAGGATTTAGTCCATATGACATGTTACTAAGGTAATACTAAATCAAGCCAGTAAGTACGTCCAGCTTGGTGGTAGTTCTTCTTAAAAATACTTTTAATCGAGATTAATCGAGGATATCGCTATTTGCCAAAGGGTGGGTAGGATTAAGCTTGCTTGTATCAATTGCTGGTGGACTACATTGAGGTCAAAGAAGATTTGAAGGCGTTCTTGAGCGGTTACTACTTCCAAATGATCCAATACTTTCATATTAGTTACAGTTACTTCCAGTTTTTGAATCAACTCTCATTTTTTCACTTCTAAAGTCTGAATTCGCTTCATTTTCATTCTTTAACTCGCTCATTCGTGTGAGGCCTCCCAAGAAACAACATGGCTGTTTACAAATATCTGACTTGAAGCTGTCTTAAATTCGTATATATCCGTATCCGTGTATACACCGGCATACGTACGTGTGTGAGGAGACAAACACGCACACACACGTACACACACAGACCCGCGAACGTCACTTTTACTTAAAGTACAAATTCAGTACAACTCAATTGAAGCCGGTGAACGTGGGGGGTGGGGGGCTTCGATGTGCTTAGGGTATGTGTGCGCAATTTTTTTCTGCTTGCTGAAGCTTTGCCTTTTTCTTATACGTTAAAAGCTTTCTTATATCTTTTTACTAGTATGTACTTGCTATACGTACTTGTTATTTACATGTCCAAGTGAATTAATGGGATCGATCCATATATTTTCTGTGGATGCCGAAAGTTGCGTTTGCTGTGTGTGTGTGTGTGGCCGAATCGCTCCAAATAGGGTTCCGACTTTCCTACTTGTTAAAATGACTAGATTGGTGATGGTTCCTGTTGATCCTACTTACTGGTTACTACTTTTTTGGGTAACTATCTGTTTTCTTTGCGCATATCTGTATTCGTACGAGTTTCCGGCTATACTACTCATTACTCATTATCGTATGTCTATTCGTTTCTTCATGATAGCGCGATTACTATAAACATTACTAGTAGTATGACATTGAAGGAGGTGATGCCACGTCGGCGCAATCCAGATGCGCCTACAGCCCCGAAAGCACCGCGCGTACGTAAGAAGAAGGCCGATGCGGACGTGGTCAAACAGGATTCGGCCGTCTATGAGCCGTTGATGCAGTCAAATGGCATCATGATGGACGATACGAACATGTATACGCAGGATTTTGGCTTTGCATTTGGTGCCCAGCCAAATTTCACCAGTCCAGAGCAAGGGAACAGCCCATATATGCTGCCACCACAAAGCAATACACCGCAACCGTCAATGATGTGGGCATATGCACAACTTTGACAATTACAGTAATTTCAATTAAAACAGAGGGTTTAGATCAACCCCATACCTATTTACTTTCAATTTCACATTTTTGTTACAACGCTTTTACGTGATTGGTCATTTCAGGATGCGACCAATGGCACCACCTTCACAACCTGGTGCACAAATATCAGGTCCTGCTCAAGCTCAGTCAATGAATGCTGTTCCAAGTCCTTTAGAATTCCGTATCCATGAAATGAATCGCCGCTTATACATATTCAATTCTTCCGGGGTAAGTGACATTTGTTTTTGAATTATTTAAGTTTTTTTTACATAGTTATTATGCACATTATTCCCTCTAACGATGAGGACATTCGCAGTAGCGCTAATACTTGTTTGCATTTATTTGATTGCATACTAATTAGCTATTGCGACCTAACTGTGCATGTTTGCACTGAGATTGAAGGAATAGGTTATTGATTGGTGAAGTATCGATCTCTTTTTTTGGGTCTTTTGGTGTTAAGGTGTTATTTATAGTTGTTGATGAGAACTCCGGAAAAGTCCGCACTCCGTATTTCCCTCTCATGACGATTATCGATGCACATATTTAATAACTATTGATCAATTTGAACGGATGTGCCCTAGTCCAGGGCCCCTTATTCAAGCGCGGAATCTGCTGAGACATGGGAGGCCCGGACCCTATTTTTTTCATTTACCCACTTAGAACTTCGTCCCCCAGTCGATAGTTGTGCCAAAAATGTTCCAAAGAAAAAAGATAAGAGGATTTTAGTGCTGTCCATTTTTAAAGCTGCAGATTACTTTTTATGGGATTAATTATGAATTGAAACAGCTGTGTTTCTGCAGCTCTTTTTAATGTGGTTATTATAGCTTTTTGTATTTACATGGATATGTGTCATTTAGATCTGCGAGAAAGATTTTGCGCAATGGTGGGATGCTTTCTCTCATGAGTTTTTCGATGATGATGCCAAATTATGGATAAATATTATCGATGAGCATAGTCCACATTCTGAGAAATATGGTAAGTGATTAATATTTGTTTTAATCGTTTTCTTTCTGTTCGAACTTTTTATTTTGTTGCATTTGTTTGAAAAATAAACATGAGCACCACTTGAGAGTAGGTTTGGTGCCAAAAGGTTATAATTAGAACTAGTACTATTAGGTTGGTGATTAAGTAACTGCGTGTTTTCCCAACTACTTCAAATATTTCTATTAAAGGATAACTACCTTGTACCTGTTTTTGTAAGTGATTTATATCGCCTCTATAGCCCATGCGCCTCTATAGTCCATGCATCTGATTATTTAATGGTAAATTTATGATTGAATTAACATTTCTTATCTTTGTAAAAGAAACTAATTATACTTTCTCAAAATATACGTAATTACTTAGTTGTCAACCTAATATAATACTGAATATTATTCGATTCTTGTTTCTGAAGAATGAAGTCTATGAGTTGAACTGCCGCGTTTTTGGAATGCGCCTCGCTTTCGACGTCCTTTCAGAATTCCGAGTTGTTGTATGCTAATTTACTATATGGTTTGTATTTCAGTTTTGGGCCGACAACTTATACCTCGCTTCTTTCGCTCATTTTTCGAAAGCAAGATTAGAGAGATGTATTTTGTGATTCGTGGGCAAGCTCGCGAATCTCAAGCACCGTCGGGTATGATCCATTACGAGAACCAAGATGTGCTCCAGGTTACGAAGCATGATGTTCCAAATGCTGAGGTGAGTTATAAGGCTTTGGTTTTTCTAGTGTTTTTCAAAAAATCATTCATTATTTGCGTAAATTTACATGTTATATTGCCAGCGAGTGATCCTTGTTATCACTATGTCGCTTTTTGGCCACCTTCCTAGACTTTCATCCATCTTTTTGTAGAACTTTGTGTCCGTTTGAGATTTTTAGGTACTGGATGGGCACAATGGGATTTTTAGAATGTTATTTTAAGTGAATAAGTGGCGTGATGACCTGTTTCCATTTTTAGCGTCTGTTTGACAGAAAGTGCATAGTTCAAGAATTTCATCGACGGGGACGGCCATTTTATTAGACCAGGGTTTTCTGCACTTTACATAGTGAATAGATTACACTTAATAATTCATGTGGGAGAAAAACGTCTAGGAATGTTCGACGAGATGATTAAATGAGGTCAATTACCTGTTGCGTTATTTCTGACTACTCGGACTTTGATTGAATGTGTAGGTGGGGGATGCAGTCAGCTTTTTATCGAATGAAGCATCTCTAAAGGACCTTCACGCATATTTCTCTGTGTAGATTATGTTTATAGTGAATTTACTGTTTTCCAAATTCTCCTTCCAAAAATTCTGAAGTTGAAATAGTTCCTTTTCGGCGGAAATACGAAAAGCTTTTTTTTCTAATAAACTCAATTTAATCTAATATAACATTTGTTTTTGTTGAAATTGCAATAGCACCATATTTATGTTTTGTAAATAAGCATAATTAGTCCAGGTTATACTAATAAATGTTTGAAAATGTACTTTTTGACGTCTGACCGTTTTATATCCGACCGTTTCAGGTGCAAACGAAATTCAAACTATTCATCGAGTTTACGCCTTATGATGAGATTTTGAATCATCGGATTCGAACGTGGAGTATGGAGTTGGAAAGCTGCCAGGAATTCTTCATGAACGAAATCACAAAGGTATATTGACTACTTTAGACTTTTTATTATCTTTTTCCAAATAAATCGTTTATTTGACTTTTATTCACTGTAAATAATTTCCCTTCTGAGAAAATCTCAATAGACTTGAACATATATCCGTAACTGTCAAACTATTCTCCCAAAAGCCGTCTTCGTTCGATCTGAGCATTAGTAAGAATTTAAAATTCTTCCTGACTTTGAATTGTTTTCCTGAAACAGCTTGGACTTGATTTTTTGATGCCAAACTCATGGAACTTCCGAGTTCATTCGCTCTTCATTTGTCTTGGGTGAACTTTCAACGACGCCCACTCGTTTCATGGCTTTCTACTGGATTCTCGGTTGTCCTTGTTTCCGATTATCGAAACTGGATTAATTTAGCGGTAGGATTTTTGGGTGGACGTTCTATTCCCTACAGTTCGGTTGAGGATTTTGTGAGGCTTACGGGCTGGCCGGTCTAACTCATATCCATTTTTTCTATAGCAACATAGTTTCATGCTGCTGGTTTTGAATGTTTATTCTCTGGAGAATTTTCAAATCTTTTAGTGATTATTTACTTTTAACGAGTAGTATTCCGTAATGAACTGCGCATAGTGTTCAAAGACTTTCTAATCTGACCGCTTCTTTTTCTTATTTTGGCATTTGTTTCATGGACACTCGCTTCTGACTTACTCCACTGGAGTTCGAACTTCAACTAAACTGTTCATAAAATTTTTTGTGCTTTTTTGTGCTCCATTTTATTCCCGAAGCCCATAAGTCAAAGAGGGCTCTGCCCATGAATAGTGTCCAGTATATCTGAATACACTTCATTTGCAGTAGACAGGTTTGAGTAAGAAAAGCTACCGGATTTCTCTTGTGTTCCACTCAAAATGACCTTACTTGGCCCATACTTCAGTAATTTTACGAGTTCTGAGGGTTGTATTGATGTGCGATGCCTAAACTCTCTTATTGTTGTCGTATGGCTGTTCATATCTTTGATGGGTGTAGTAAAGCATCCCTCAAAACTTTCATCTTTCTATCGCCTACCAGATACAGTACTTTTTCAGAAATAGGTTAGTAAAGATTCAAATGTCTATGTTAACCAGTAAGTAATTGTAAGTTCTCATTTGCTTCGTGAACGGCTGACTCTCACCGCAGCTCACTATGCAAATGTGGACGAAAGTTTTGGCCTCAGGCGGGACTCAAGCCATAGCTTATACATTCTGGGCACTGGGCTTAGACAACGTATTATTTGTGAGGCCCTACGCCTCTTTTCTCAGAATATTTACCATAGTTTACAGAATATGTTTACCAGTTTGTGTTTTCTGTGAAGTTTAATGTTTTCCAATTCGCCTGCGAATGTCGTTGTATTGTTGTGTAAGATTTATTATTAGATAGTTGCATTTCAAGCTGTGCACGTGCACGGCACGGTTTGATTGCGTGCAGCTTTGGCTTCGTTTATTTTAAAGTACAAGACTGATGTCCGTTGGATGACTATGAAATCTTAATCATCTTCGGGCGTTGATCAATCCCGCCTGAGGGACGCACCCCGCATTCGATTTCCATTCAAAATCGTAGTCGCTTATTGAATGCGTATGTGAGCGATACAATCACTTGCGGTGGTCAGCCTGTGTACAGGGAGATACTTTTATCCTCCCAGATGAGTCTGGTAACAACTAACCGACCCCTGAGGGATGGAGGGCTTGGTTATCCTTGGCGGATATCGATCTGGGATTCGAAACCGTGATCGTGCGTGCTAGACTGCTCCTTTTGTCACTACACCACCTCCGCCCAAATTTTACTTTGTTCTGATATATGTTCTTACAAACTATTTTTGTGCCCTTCAATAAATTCAATCTTATTTAGGAGTACGAAATCCATCATGGTGATGGTATGGAAAAGCCATTACCGTTGACTCGTGTGGGAATGCCCCAACAAACGATGGCGTGTCTGTCGATGAGTCGAATATTGGAGCCAATGCAAATGCTCATGAGTCAAAGTAAAACATCAGGTGTAAGTTTTTCTGTTCTGCTTGCTGTGCCCTTTGCATATTTTCAAAATGACAAAAGGGAAACAGTAAGTATGTAGTTGTAAAGGGCTGGAGTCGAACTGCTGTCTGAAGAATTTTCTTCCTGGTTTGGTTGCGCCATAGTATTAGTTTGGCTACTAAGTAATTGCCTATATTTTTGGGAGGAGTAATAACCTCTTTTTTACAAAAGAAGTAGAGGTTATTCAGTGATATATTGATCGTAAAATCCTCAGACACGTGGTTCATGAGTGTAGATCACTTTGAGAAACAGGAAGTTACTTTTTAAGATAAATGTTTGAAGTACTTGGAGCAACAAGTTGTTGCTCAGTTGACAATCTAATAAAAGCAGCTATTAATGCGCTCGTTTAAGTTAGTGGCAGTATCCTTCGCGTGAAAGATTGATTTCGGTTTCGTTTTTTCTAGTTAGGACGATTTTACAGATGGCTTTCTTGTAGCCATTACTGGTATTATTCAAATTGTCTGAAAAGAAAGTTTTGAGGATTTTGAAAGAGTTTCGAGCTTTTTTTAGTTTTTTTTTTCTCGAGCACCATTTGTCTTGGCCATTTTTGACGCTTAGGGATTGATTTTTTGGGCAGATTTTTTGATTTATCATATGGCCTTGAAAATAGGCGACGATCGCGGTGTAACATCAAATTACCGTAGTTGCGCTGCACTGTGGGACGACATTTGAAGATTATATAATGAAGGCGGTTTTTTCTGCTCATAAGCCTTTGTGGTCATGGGTTATTGCCAGGGGACCAATTCTGCCACGGCCTGTAGCCTATGGGAATTTTTTATTCAAAGGCTCTTATGGTTTTCCTGGGCCCCTTAGTATAGCCTTATTCTCCCTTCATTCTCTTGAATTGTCATTATATACTGCATGTTTATCGCTTGAAATTAAATAAATCCCATAAATTGGAGTGATGCTGACTTTGGAAAGTCGGTTTCAGAAGAGGACTGCCTACTGTAGGACCAAATGTCTCTCTTTTCCGCACTGACTACAACTTTATTCGATTTCTCAAATAGAGTATCTGATACATAATTATTTTTTACTCATATTTACTTGATAACAATTCTCAAGTCTTGTCCAGATTGGATTGTGGGTTGTGGTGGAATAAAACGTTACTGCTCTTGCTGCGGTGACTCGTCCTTTTCTAGTAATTGCGATTTAGAGGGGTTCCCACAAATCCCAGCCAATCCGTTTTTTGAGTTGTCAAAGTAAAATAGTCGATTACTATGATAAATAGTAATCAAATAAAAATAGAATGATATGGATGAGGACATAAATCAGCAAGAGAATGTTGCGTTGTTTTTTGGCAAATTGCCAAGACTAGCCTAAACGGCCGTCATTCACAAATTTCAAGCTGATGTACTTTTTTGAATGTTTTGAACTATTTTTGACTAGAGAGAGTGAAAGCCTTCATCAAAGCGGCTGCAGGAAACTCGGTAATGAACGCTATTATGCAGGATATTCTGAGTTCTCGAAATCACAGACATGTGGGCGTAGGATATCAGTCTTAGCATCTATGAATAGATGCTCTCGGGGCGGACCCTTTGACCATGGTGAAATTCGTCGTGGGATGCATCCACACATTCATTTTCATTTAGAATCGCAGTAGCGATTGATTGTGTACTTTTTCCATGCTATGGGTTGTAGCATTTAAGGTTTTCAGCCCCAAGGCGGGTTAAGTTTCAATTGAAGCAGCTAGGGAAGGTATGCCAGTACGTTTTCAACTGGGCGGATATCGATCGCAGATTTGATCGGCGGGCTATACTTATCGTAGAGCCGTAGAAGGGGTGTTGCTCAATAATTTATTATTGAGAACTACTTTTATTTGTCTCATAAGGTCGGCGATTTGTGGACAAAACTTTAGTCTCGGACGGGACTCGAACCCGTACTTGTGCTTTCCGGGCACCGTGCTCTATCCCTTACACTACCGAGACCCCGCTTGCCCTCGCATTCTTAATTCGTGACGTTGAATACTTTTATATGGATGTTTTTCATTGTGACAGCTATCTGTTGGTCGTCTGGCGTTGACAGATAGTACTTGGTTTTTTCTTGTTTCGATAGATATTTATAATATTTAAAAATTTTTGATGAATGAGGCGATGTTCGGATGAAAAGTGATCGCGTTTGAGTCCTGCTCATGATCAGACGTTTTGCCTATAACTCAGGACTCTTAAAATGAAGTTTTCT